GTTTAAAGATTCTTTGACTTATAATTGGTTAAAGACATGAAGCTTTGTCTAAATGCTTGGAATGTTTTAACATAAGTTGTTTATCAGAGATAAGCCACCAGACATAGATTTGTTGTATAAATTGAGGACCTACAGGTTTGTCTTGCATACCCTTAGGGCTGCTAATGGGTTGCAAAGGATGTCTCCAAGAAGGGAGGGGGGCATGATGAGGCGCATCTCCTCCTGGCAGGATATTTTCTTCATTTTTCTTTTGTGTTCCCCATGCCCTGTTTCCTATTTTCCACCAGATCTTCTGTCCTAAAAAACTTGTCTCCTACCCTACCCTCTTTCCCATTCCCCCCCAAAAGAAAACCTACACACCCACACACATAATGCATTTAATTCTTGGGATGCCTCCACAACTCTTCAATGATTTATGCAAAAATCCTGAAGAAGCTAGGAACTCTCCATTCCTTGTTCCCAACCTCTTAAGTCAAGACCATTTCTTGATGGTGATTCATGCCAAACACTTGAAACAACTACTGTATTTTGGATGGATCAAACCTACTTAATCTGTAATCTGAAAGTAGAGAGACACAATTGGGGGCCTTACATATAGAAAGTGAGGGCAGGAGACCAAGAAAGGGATTATGAATGTATATCCAAGTCACTCAGGAAATTTTATAATACAGGTGCAAGAAACTTACGTCAAAGTGGCCACAAGATTGTTTAATAGGAGACGGACGAATGTAACTCCATGTTTACTGCTAGAAACCAAAGCTTTGTGTGAAATCTTGAATTTATGGGGAGGGAGGGAGGGTAGGAAAGCCTGTACTTGTCTGTTCTTTTCCTGATCCCTTCCCCTTATTCCTGAACTGCAGGAGACTGAGCCCCCTTGTACTTAATCGTTTCACTCTGGCATGGGCATTATATTATTACATATCCTTCTTTAAAAGGAAAACAACTCCTTATCCAGGCCACTTTCAAAGCTAGAGATTCGGGGATGGAGTCTCAGATAAAGCATTCAGGTTCTAGGGTGATTTCCCCATAAAGTCCTCCCTTGCATTTGGATAGAGCATGGGTAGGGTTCCTTTGCCTCACCCTTCCCCCCACCAAGAAGGAAGAAGGGGTGATGCCATGAACCCGGCCTGAGATACATGGCAGTGCCAACCACCCCCAACCCACCCTGTCCCCACTTTCTCCACTCTGCTGCTCATTGAAACTTCCTGATAGCAAAAGAATAGCCCCACCCACTATGGCTCAATTCTGGGCCTCTGGGAGCAGGGCAGGGCTGTGGATCTCTTCTTCTTCCTCCCGAAAGTAGGCTGGCTTTCCCTGTGCGCTAGGGGCCTGCTGGGCCTTCAGTGGACACGAGGCTACCATGTGGCTGATGCTCTGGCAGAAGTGGCACTTCTTGGTCTGGGTGGCCGAGCCTGCATCTTAGCATGATGGTCTAGACCTCCACAGTTGTAGCACCTGTCTCCTTTTGATCTGCGCTTCTGCATGTTCTTCCCCTTTGGCCGCCTCTCACTCCCGTTACAGAACACCCACCAGGTCCAGTGACTCGGATAGATTCCAGGCCCTTGGCAGACTTATTAAAGGTGAACTCAACTGCCTCACCCTCCTTCAGGCTCCGGAAGCCTTCCATGTGCAGCTTACATGAAGCCGAACCCCATGCGCACGTTGAACCACTTACAGATGCCGGCACCATGGAGCAACTACGGCTCGTCCGCAGCCCCGGCCGAGTCCTCCGGCACCTCCTCGGGCGCCGCCACCACAGCCTTGGCGCAGCCACCTGCAAACTGCTGGTTGGACACGGAGCCCATGGTCGTCGGCTGAGCCCGCGGCCCCTGGCCCCTGCTCAGGCTGCTGCCGGCCCCAGAGAAGTCCGGAGGCAAAGGGGTGGTTCGGAGAAGAGGCTGCTACATCTTCCCTCGCACCAAAATTTTAATTTTTAAATGGGTTAATCATTCCCATGGTTCAGAAATCAAGAAAGTATGAATATGTAGTCAGTTGAAGTCTCCCTCTGAATCCTTTCTACTACCAACTTGGTCCTCACTCTCTCTCCCAAAAGAAACCATGCTGTTTATCTTTCCAGGGTTACTTCATTCATATGCAAGTAAATAAAAATTACATATTCTTATTTGCCCTTCTACCTTTTTTTCATAAAAAGATTCCATAGTGTATGTACTAATTTGACCTCCTTTTTTTTTTTTTTACTTAACCATGTATCTTGAGGATGTTTACTTATTGGTAAGGCTGACTCTACACACACACACACACACACACACACACACACACACACTTTTTAACGCTAGATAGTGTTACATTACATAGATGTACCATCAGTTGTTTAACCAGTTTCCTGCTGTTAAACAAATAGGTGGCTTTCGAGTCTTTTACTATTAGGAATAATTCAGTAGTTAATAGTCTGTGCATAAGTCATTTTGAATGTATTTGAGTAATATAGCTGTTGAATACATTCCCAGAAAGCTACTGCCAAATTGTCCTTCCAAGGGGTTAAATCATTCTTCCACAGGCCTGTTAGGGAAGTGCCTATTAACCCATAGCCCTATTTAGAGAATCTTATCAAATATTGGGATTTCTGCCAACCTGATAGGAAGAAAATGTTATCGTACCATAGTTTTAATTTGTATTTCCACTCTGAGTGAGGTTGAGTATCTCCTATGTTTATAACCGTTTGTATTTCCTTTTCTCTGTTCTGTCTACTGTAAATTGTTAGTCATTCAGTTCTTTCTTTTAGAAAGAATATTAAATGGAAATATGTTAGTAGTAGTGTTTAGTAACTTAATAGTGAATGAACAGTTAATATTCATAGCCTACTAGTGAAATACTTTAAAATGCATCTAATAAAATATAATTATGCTAAATCTAGTCAAATCTTTAAAGGTTTTAAGATCATTACAAAATGCTTAGATCAAAGGTTGGGTTAATTGATTTTTCAGACAGATTTTCAAAGTTCAAAGTAAAATCAGGTTAATCAGAATTTTTGAGCATAAGAGTAATGTTCCAAAATTAGTTTGGTAAATGAAAATATATGAATTATTTCTTCTAAAAATCTTTTACCTTTGAAAGAGGTGGTTTGTATTCTACAAATAATGGCATTTGCAGAATAATTTGATAGGTGTGGGGGAACAAATATTTGAAATTTGGACTGTCTTATAAAGTCTGAGCTTTATGGTTACAAAATATATTCTGTCCTACACATAAGAATGATAAACACATTCATGGTTAGATGACAGGGTACTCTTAGTAGTCTCCATTCAGTGTACCTTTCTTGAGAAGTAAAGAGTATGCAGGTATTTTTATAACTGAGCCTACCAATCCTTTTCCTCAGCCTCATCTCAAATACCTCTTAACTTTTTGTTTCTGTCATTTGTAATTTATAGATATTATACCCTGTGTTAGGGAGGTAGTTGCTTTATCAAATGAGTGAAGTAAGAAAATGGGCCGGTAGTTTGTTTATATTTTGTTAATTTATTATAACTTAAAGGCCTGGCTTTATTTATGCAATTAAAAATATATTTTTAGAGTTGCATCAATATGGAGAAGCATCCAGCACACATCCGTCAGGTATGGTGTCATTCCAGAACATTCTGTGGTACTCCGTTTTTCTGCCTCATCAGCCAACTAAATTTACCTTGATTGAACTTAATTATTTTGAGTTTTTTCCATTGCCAAAACATTGAGCTGCATGTCATTGTGTAGGTAGCCAGTTATCACATTTTAGCAACCCTAATATTGTTCGTGTGCTTGCTTTTTAGATAGCTCTAAAATTGTTTATCAAGAAAAAAATTATTGGCTTAGTGATTTTTTTAAGCATTAATATTTAACTTTTCTAAAGTTATTAAAATGTTCTGAATGCTTTCTACCAAAATAATCATAAATAACTAAAATTTTATCATATGTTCCCAAATTTAATTGTTTTGAAATTATTTTAGTATGCATCGATTACATTACTTTTTACGACACTAATAATAATGTATCTACTTTGTGTTATTTGAATATCTTGTTTGGTTATAATAGTATGATAAATAGAGAAATGACATTGTTATTTTGACTAATTATGTGCTTTCTTATTAAAGTTTACATGCTGATTCATGCTAAGGCAATTTTTTAGAAGATAAAATTTGAATTTCTATAAATATGTATAAAATAAGTCTGTTTTAAGAAACCAATTGGTCTGATCTTGCCAGCAAATGATAAAAATGCTTAATAATTAGAGTTCAAATTAAAGCAAATAAGCAAAATATTCCAAATATTGGAGATGATAACTAACACTGGTAACTGACATACTTTTATTAATAAAGCAAATTTAAAAGAAATGTGTATGTGTAAGTGAATTTAGATTAGAAAATAATTTCAAGGCTTTTTCAGTATTTATCTTATTAATGCTGATCATTTAAATTTAGGGCGAGCATATAAATCAGAGCAAGATAATTCTGAAAAAGTATTATCCACATTAGTTCTGGCCAGTGTAAATCTGTATAATTAAAAACATTACCAGGAATGAAAGTTGGATTTTAATTTTTTCTAAGGCTACCAAGTTTATTTCATTCAGGTCTGACTTCAACATGAACTTTTATTGTTTAATTTTGGTCTCAGGGGACTTTCATAAGGTTAGTTCTAATATATGTGAAATATATGCCTTAAATCAGCTGCATATGATCAGGATGTTAATTGGAGTGTAGCATTTACTTGCATTAAGAATTATGCTATGTTGGTTGGAAAATCAAGTGAAAAGAGAGGAAAGTGGAAGAATGGTAAAAGAGTATGATTATCAAATTCTTTAGTAGGTTTAAGATCAGATGTTAAAATAGAAATGAAATTTTAATATATTAATATTTGAATAACTTGATTTTTATTTGAGACAAGTTCCTTATCTGAAGTACTAAATACATTGTCAGTTACAGTTATAGCACAGTGGTTTGAAAAGGATTATAAAAATCCAGTGGCAAATAATACATCTATAGTATATTTAATTGTGCTGTGTGTTTTAGGTATTTGTGAAGTGTCACTTTGATTATAATCCATATAATGATAACCTGATACCCTGTAAAGAAGCAGGATTGAAGTTTTCCAAAGGAGAAATTCTTCAGATTGTAAACAGAGAAGATCCAAATTGGTGGCAGGTTAGTAAGCCTCTCAAAATTTTCTCAACTTTTCTACTTTTAATCTTAGATCTGGCCAATATCTGAGTATTCAGGAAGAATATTAGCATTTGTGTTAGTGTTAGCATTTGCTCCAATGACTTTCCCCATATCAACAGCTCCTGCTTTATGGCTGCTAATTTGTGGATTTAAGACCAAATTGAGAGGGAATTCATAAGTAACTGTTAGTAAGTGCAGAATTACCAGCCTATGGTACAGTCCCATTGGTTTAAGGATTAGACCAATTGGTTCTTTCACATGGATGATTGTATTAAAATATCCCATTGGGCAAGAAGAACTAACTTGATGTTATCTCTTTTCATTGTTTGTTTTTTGTTTCTTTTAGCTAGAGGTCTTTTATTGTGGTTATACTAGTTGTTTTCTTGTCCCCCCCCCTCCCTCTTGTGTATGATTATGACTAGAAGATCTTAAATCTATTTGCTTACCCCTTCTCAGTTGTTGAGAAATGAAGGTTTGCTCTATCAGTTTTGTTTGATTTTTGGATTAAAATCTGTGTACGTGGAAAGAGATGTGTGTTATTACTGTATTTTTCCCTCCCTCCATTTTCCAGAAGATCTATGTGATGGTATTATTTTTCCTTCCTCTTAATACAGCTTTCAGAAATGTCTAGCAGCAGTAATAACTCTCTTTTTGTAATTGTTTATATCAGCTAACAACCACGGTATTCAGAACTGAAAAACAGACGAGTCAGAAAGTCTGAAACTCCTAAACTATCAGAGCAAATGAGAGTCTCATTAAAAAACAAGGAATAAGAGGAAAGGACCCAGGGCTTAGCACCAAACTCTAAAATTAACTAAGATATTGGTAGCCTATATTAGTTCTAATAAATTATATTGACTTCTAAGGGAAAATGAATCACAGAATGAGAATAATCTTACTAGAATGTGTCCTTAAATTTAAATTAAGACATTATTACGTTTAAGTGTAGTATGTGGTGAGACAACTAAGAAATGGGTAAATTAAACAGAATCTGTGAGTTCAAGAGGTTTCCACTGAATTTTTTTAGAATCTTTTTCTTTAAAATCTTCTTTCTGTGGCTGCTTCCTTTGTTGGATTTTTCTAATTTTCCCTCTTTTTTCTCTTTTTCATCTCTTATTTTTTTTTTCTTCTAATCCTATTACCATTATCTCAATCTCTTCCTGCATTTTGATAGTCCCTTACTTTAATTCCATTTTCAGGATTTTAATTCTAAAAATGATACCAGATTTTCTATGCTAGTTGTAAGGATAAAGATACTAACTTTGTGAGACAAGCCACTAACAGCCAGTTTTCTAACCACTGTTTTAAAATATTTCTCTTTGGATTTTATTTTAAAAGTTAGTTTTTTAAACTGTTTTTTGTTTCTTTTTTTTTTTTTTTTACATTTGGTGAAGTTTTACCCATTTTAAATTTACAAACTCTCAGGATATTTAGATTCCTGGTAGCATGAATTAAAATTTATACCTCTATATTCCCAATATTGTTTCCATTTCATTGATTTGGCATTAGGAAATACCAACGTGGTAGGATTAAGGTTGATAGTAAATGTCTTACTAAAAGGTGCTAGATGAAATGGCCTGTAAACACATCTCACTATAGAATAGTATTTATTTCTTTCCCGTTTTTGACTAAATTAGTATTATAAATAAAAAATTTTAGTAATTTAAAGTACTCATACACCTTTGTATATTGGTTTCCAAATTTCACTATCAGATGACAGATATAAAGGAACTGTAGGTGCCAATTGATTCCTCAATGCTTAAGTGTTTAAATATCGGAACTGACAATGCCATGGATTTAAATCTCAAGGTTGTAAGAGCAAATGTGACATTTTTTTTTTTTTTTTTACTGACCACTGCTTGTCCTGCTTATTACAATATGGTCTCAAATTTTGGTCACTGAGATATACAATTCATTAATTTGATTCTAGGCTAGCCATGTAAAAGAGGGAGGAAGCGCTGGTCTCATTCCAAGCCAATTCCTGGAAGAGAAGAGAAAGGCATTTGTTAGAAGAGACTGGGACAATTCAGGTGATGAGCTCGACACAATAAGTAATAAGCAGTCCTTTGTGGCCACCTATCTTTGCCTCTTTTGTCTGAATAAACAAATGAATTTATGTAAACTACATGTCTAGAGTTAATCCCTCCCATCTACTTTATTTTCTCTCTCAAAAATAATCTTTTTGATCCCTTTCTGCCACCTGCTGGTAGAGTTTCAAAATTCCGTGGCTTAACTCTCCCGACCCCTTTTTGCTTCCTAGGATGGATGCAACATTGGGAATATAATTCTCCCACCCCTATAGAATACCACAGGGCAATTCTTTCATATTCTGCATATTGTTTACATTATATTTGTCTTGTCATACCTTCAGGACCTTTTTGTGGAACTATAAGTAGCAAAAAAAAGAAAAAAATGATGTATCTCACAACCAGAAATGCAGGTAGGTTTTAAATATTTTTTGAGAAGTCCAAGTGAAGTAGCTTCATATTATTAGTATGATGTGAACCTAAAATGTATAATTTAAAATGAACATAATTCAGATCAGTAATCAATTTCAAGAAGTTTGCATGTGAACATGTGGTATAATATAAAGAAATTATTTAAATCCTCACAATATATACTACTAGTGTGCTTTATTTTGTCAATATAGTGTACTACACAATAAATGAATTAGGATTTATGTTTGTATTAATTAAGGAGCGATGTTATTGAAACTATTTGTCAGAGAATTTTGAAATAGTAATTTATATGCCATTTCTAAAATGGTGAATGCCTTTCTGAAGATATTAAAAGATATTAACTTATGATTAATGGCAATTGTATTTTGCCATAACATTGTTCGTGATACTGGAAAAATAGCACTGGACCAAACACATCTTAGTCTGATGTATTTAATAATAGGATTCTTTCTTAAATCTTTTTATCTTAAAGGAAGAGAAATTTTTTTTTTTTGGCTGGCTGCAATGGCTCACATCTATAATCCTAGCACTCTGGGAGACTGAGGCTGGACAATGGCTTCAGCTCAGGAGTTCAAGACCAGCCTGAGCAACAGCAAGACCCTCTACTAAAAATAGAAAAACTTAGCCAGGCATGGTGGCACATGGGCCTGTAGGTCCAGCTACTTGGGAGGCTGAGGCAAGAGGATCACGTGAGCCCGGAAGTCTGAGGTTGAAAGTGAGCCACTGCACTCTAGCCTGGGTGACAGAGCAAGACTGTCAAAAACAGGGGAAAAAATTTTAAAAAGTATTTCTAAAAAAAAAGAAATGATAATTATGTGAGGTGATGGATATGTTAATTAGCTTGATTGTGATCATTCACAGTATATACATGTATCAAAACATCAAGCTGAACACCTTAAATATACATAATTCCTATTTGTCAGTTATACCTCAATAAAGCTGAAAAGTTTTTAAAAAAATTTTAAAACCTCAGGCCTAGATTGGGTACCCCTTCCCTATAAAAATAAATAAATAAAAAGGAGGTAGGGGAGGAAAGGAATGGAAACTATTGTATTCTTCCCAATTACAGAGAATGGTAGGAGTGAAATGCAGCTCTTTGAATCAGAAGGTTCTGGAGGCTTAATCAAACGAATCGGAAATTTTTAAAATACTTTCTTGACTTCAGAGCTACCTCTGTACTGCTAATAAACTAGCACACTATAAAGGAAATAATACAGAAGGGAGAAATAGGCTTTTTCTCTTTTAATATTGGTTTAATCTACCATGAGAAGGTTGTGCAAAGAAAGAGTCGCTGTTAAGGTAATAACGTAGGAAAGAAATGTTATTACTACAGATTGAGTTACAGGAATTGTTATAGGTAATATAATACTTCAGATCTACTTTGGCCTTATTATTCATTAAATATATGTCCTCAAGGCTTTTTTACAAAATAGAAAATTTGTAGTTTTCCCATTGATTAAGATTATAATTTTGGGATTTGTCTCTACTGAAAATAGTTTGTATCCAAAATTTTATTTTATACACAAATTTCAGAATCTTAATATTTAAATGTGAATATGTTGTCATATTCATTTTATTAATCAAACTGATAATTGCAGATTTGCCACACAGTATTTTTTCATTTATGTCATTGGACAGGCATACTTATTCTATGGAACTTACTTAAGCGGCCACAGAAGTTGTACTCCTGTCCCCCGTATTTGATACATACTTTTTATTAATATATAAAATTATCTATAGTTTTATTTATATTAAAGGAATTATTTCTACTGACAAATTCATAATAAAGAGGTTTCAATGAAACCTCTCTAATAAGGATAAAACAAAGGAATTATTTTAGCTTGGTTAGACAAAATTTTTTAAGGGCAAATGAATGGAAGGAGATGTTTAAATCAAGATACAAAATAATTTATTGTACTTTACCAAATTTGTAACAAGTCTGTGCTAAGTGGGTACAACTGAAGTGATATTTAACTATCAAGACAACTAAGCCATTACTAGACAAAATAGCAGAGTTTTTTTCATGTATGTAAAAGATAACTGAATACATGTTTTCCCATTTCCTTTTACATTTAGAATTTGATCGTCATGAGATCCAGATATATGAGGAGGTAGCCAAAATGCCTCCATTCCAAAGAAAAACACTAGTACTGATAGGAGCTCAAGGTGTGGGCCGAAGAAGCTTGAAAAACAGGTTCATAGTATTGAATCCCACTAGATTTGGAACTACAGTGCCATGTAAGTTTTCTGTGTTTTCTTTGCTATTTAATTGGCAGGGAAAAGTATTGGCATATGGAGGAGGAAGAGAGTTATTATTACTAATTATTGTTATTGCAAATTTTGATTATGCCAGTGAAAATGAACAAGTAGAAATACTGAAAAACTCAGCAGTTCTATGGTTGTCTTGAAATAGTGCTTTGGCACTGTTGACCTGCTGTCTGGTGGCAATTGCTTCTCCAAACTGTTCAGTCCAGAAATGTTAGAGTTAAGCATTGTGACAAAATTGGCACTAATTTAGTATTTTCTTGCACAACTGATATCTGTCTGAAAAGTTGAATGTTTCACCCATTTCTGTGTAAAGGGGAAAGCTCACACACATGCAGTGTGGCAGTATCTTTGTGAATTTTTGTGATCTGGCTTATAGCTCTCAGTCCTACAAGATCATAAGCCAGATTTTTTGTTTTGTTTTTGAGACTGAGTCTTGCTCTGTTGCCCAAGCTAGAGTGCAGTGGCATCATCATTACTCACCGCCACCTCAAAACTCCTGGGCTCAAAGTGATCATCCGTCTGCCTCAGCCTCCAGAGTAACTGAGACTATAGGCATGTGCCACCACACCAGGCTAATTTTTCTATTTTTGTAGAGACAGGGGTCTTCCTGTGTGTTCAGGCTGATCTCCAACTCCCGGCTTCAAGTGATCGATCCTTCCATCTCGGCCTCCCAAAGTGCTGGGATTATAGTCTTGAACCACCATGCCCCTCCAAGCCTGATTTTTGATAGCATATCAAGAATTAATCTTCCACCACAAGCAGTGTTAATTAAGGTCACAAAGACTGATGTATAAAGTAAAATAATACTGATGAGGAAGTATAACCGTTAAGTGATCCAAACACTCATTTTATGATCTTTGCATTCTTTCTCTATTTTGCATATTTACATGAAAAGGCAAATGTCAGAAGTATGCTTGATGAGAATGGAATTAGATCAAGGAATTGGATATCACTGACTTATTGTAATGACTAATATATATTTGTCTTTGTTTTAGAGATGCATGAGCCTTTAAATGTGGGAATTCACATGCTGTCTCCCTGAACAAAACAGGAGACAAGCTAATGTTGCTTTTATAACTCCCTTTCCTGTGCTTCTGTTTATAACCAAACCCCCTTATAACACAGTATTCCTGGAGGTACATTAATGCCTTTAAACTGTTTTGAGTCAAATCTTAGTCTCAGGCCACCCCATCTCTTAAATGAATTTTAGAATTCATCTAGTTTTATCCAGTATGTTTTGAGGTTTAATTCTCAGCGAACACTCTTACTGCTCAAATTCTTAAGGGTTGGGGGTGTAACCTAGTCATTGCTACTTATAATCCCTACAGTGTAAGGCTTTGGATTTCATTATAGGCACTGTAAATCCCTAATTCAGACAAATCCTAGTTAAGTGGTTAACAGAATAAAACCTTCACTGTAATCAAAGTATTTTAAAGCTGCCATTGTGAAATAGAGAAAAGTTTATTTTTTATTTTTATCAAATTAATATGTGCACAGTATTTTAAGCAAGTAATTCTTAAAGACCTTATAATGGAAAAAAATAACCCCTTCTCTTCTACTCCACCTCTGGCTCACTTACCAGAAACAGTTGCTTTTCATTCTTTCTGCTATTTCTTTTGGTAGTGTTCCATATTTCTTAATAATGTCTCTTTCTGCTATTTCCTGCTTTATCCAATTTAGTCCTTATCTGTTAACTTTTTACTGTCCTCCCAACCTAAAGATAGCTCTATTTTCAGTTAACTCAATTTTACTTTATTGAATACCCTCCATCCTCCCCTCAACCAGCAATAGCTGGAGTTCTTTTCTTCCTTCCACTCTTTACCTGATCTTATGTGTTATGTGTATATAATTTTTTTGTTACTGTTTTTTAAACCAAAGACTCACTCATCTCTTATGTCATGTTTTTTTCTAGGAGCCCTCTGTCCCAGAACCCTCAGTCTTCCTGCTTCAGTGAAGTTTACCTGTTCTCTGTTCTAGCTGCCCAGCTGTTAACACTGGGGTAGTTCCAGTGTTAGTAGTTTGTTGTTATCCTGGGTTGAAACTGTTGTCCCTAGATCCCATTCTTTTTCTTTCTTGGTTTGTCGCCTTGTTTTGCTGGGGCACATCCTTCTGTAACTTCACAAAAAATGGTGTATGGAATGTAATTTCTGCATCTTTATATTTAAGATGTATATTTTATGCTCTATATTTGATTGATTGCTTAACTGAGAATACAAATTCTGGATTGTAAAATTCAGAAGATGTTATAACATCTCTTTCACCCCCAAAAGAAATCCTGTACCCATTTCCCACCAAGCCCATCTCCCCCTACAGCCACTAGCAATCACTAACCTTTCTGTTACAATAAATTTGCTTATTCCAGACACTTCCTATAATGGAGTTATACAATATGTGGTATTCTGTGACTGGCTCCTTAATGTGATGGCTTCAAGTCTCATCATGTTGTAGCATGTATCAGTACTTAGTTTCTTTTCATTGCTAAATGATACTCTATTTTATGGCTGTACTGCATTTTATTTATCTGTTCATTAGTTGATGGACATTTGGATTGTTATGTTTTTTAGCCATCATGAATAGTGCTGCCATTAATAATTATGTGTATGGACATGTGCTTTATTAATATTTCTCTTGGGCATATAACTAGGAATGGCACTTGTGAGTCATATGGTGACTCTATGTTTAACATTTTGAGGAACTGCCACACTGTTTCCCACATTAGCTATGTGTACCCTTTTTATAATCCAAGCAGGGTATGAAATTTCCAATTTCTCGACATCCTTACGAATGTCTGTCATCCAGTTTTTTGATTATAGTAATCCTAGTGAGTATAAAGTTGTATTTTCTTGTGATTCTGATTTGCATTTCCCTAACGGCTGATAGTGTTGGACAACATTTCATGTATATATTGGCCATTTATATATTTTCTTTGGAGAAATATCTATTCAGATCAATTGCCCATTTTCTAACTAGGTTTTTTCTTGAGTTGTAGGAGTTCATGTTATATTCTGGGTATAAGTTCCTTATTAGATTTATGATTTGCAAATATTTTCTCTCATTCTTTGGTGACTTTCCATGTTTTTGATAGTGTCCTTTGATATATAAAAATTTTTCATTTTGGTGAAGTCCGGTATTATTTATCTTTTTTATTGCTCATGCCTTTGATATCTCATATCAAATATGATATGTCAAAGATTTGCCTAACCCAAGACCACAAAACTTTCCTTCTGTATTTTCCTCTAAGAGTTTTATAATACTAGCTCTTACTTTTAGATTATTGATCAATTTTGCATTAATTTTGTGTGGAATGTGAGGAAGGGGTTCCGACTTCATTCCTTTGCTTGCAGATATCCAGTTGTCTCAGCACAGTTTGTTAAAAAGACTATTTCTTTCCTCCAGTGAATTGTCTTGCCACCTTTCTTGAAAATCGATTCACTGTAAATGTGAAGATTCATTTATGGACTCCCAATTCTGTTGCATTAACTGACATGTTTATCCTTATGTCAGTCCCGCATTGCCTTGATTACTGTATATTTGTAATAAGTTTCAAAATTAGGAATTATGAATCTCCCAAATTTGTTTTTCTTTTTCAAGATTGTTTTGACTTTTCTGGGTCCCTGGTGTTTCTATATAAATTATAAAAGAAGCTTTCCGTTTCTGCAGAAAAGACATCTGGAATTTTGAGAGGGCTTGTATTGAATCTGTCGATCAACTTGGAAAGTATTGCCATCTTAACAATATTCTTCCAGTCCATGTGCATGATGTCTTTCCATTTATTTATGTCTTTATTTTAATGATATTTGTAGTTTTCAGTGTACAAATCTTATGCTGCTTTTGTCAGATTTATTCCAAAATATTTTAACAAAATATAGCAAAAGTATTATTTTCTTAATTTCCTTTTTGTGTTGTTCCTTGCTAGTGTATCAAAATACAACTGATTTTTGTATGTTATTATAGCCTTGTCTTTTAATCTTGCTGACCTCATTAGTCCTAATGATTTTGTGTGTGTGTGTGAATTCTTCAAGATTTTCTATATACAAAATCATGTCATCTGCAAATAGAGATCCTTTCCAATCTGGGTGCTGTTTATATCTTTTTCTTATCTAATTGCTCCAACTAAAACCTGCAGTGCAATGTGGAATAGAAGTGGAAAAGGTGGACATCCTTGTCTTGTTCAAGATCTTTAGGAGAAAGTATTTAATCTTTGATCATTCAATATGATGTTAGCTGTGGGTTTTTCATAGATGCCTTTTATCAGTTGGAAAAGTTCCTTTCTATTCCTGCTTTATTGACTTTATATCAAGAAAGGATACTGGTTGTTGTCAATTGCTTTTTCTTTATCTATTGAGATGGTCATGTGATTTTTGTTTTTTATTCTTTTGATATGATGCATCACATTGATTTTTATGTATTGAACCAACTTTGTATTCCTGTGGCAAATTCCATTTGGTCATCATATACAATCCTTTCTATATGCTTCTAGATGCATTTTGCTTGTATTTTGTAAGGATTTGTACATTTTCTTTATGGAAGTTCTGATTACTAATTTGGTCTCTTGTTCCAAGTCTGCTCAGATTTTCTATTTCTTTTTGATCAGTTTCAGTATTTCTGCAGGGTTCATAGTAACATTCTCTCATTTCTGATTTTAGAAATTTGAGTCTTCTTTTTCTTAGTCTACTTAAATTCTTATTTTGTTGATTTTTTTTCCAAACAACCAACTTTTGCTTTTGTTGATTTTTCTATATTTTTTCTATTCTCTAGTTTATTAATTTTTGCTATAATCTTTATTATTTTCTTCTTCCTACTTATGATTTGGGTTTAGTTTGCTCTTTTTCCAGTTTCTTTAGGTGAAAGGTTAGCTTATTGATTTGAGATCTTTTTCAACAGAGGCGTTTAGAGCTGTAAATTTCCCTCTAAACACTGCTTTAATTGTATCCTGAAATTTCTGGTATGCTGTTTCTGTTTTTTTTTTT